AAAAAAAAAAAAGAAGAAGAAGAAGAAGAAGAAGAAGAAATTTCTCCTAAATTGGGCTGAAGCAACATTAATTAAGTCAAGCAGCAGCTGAAACTCAGCTGTGGAAACTTTTCATTTGGGGGATACTCTGGAGAATTTTCAGTTGCATCACTCTTCTATACTGGTTAATAAACACACCATTGCTGGCATATGTTCATAAAGATGCATTAAATCCTTCATCTGATCATTCAGGCATAATTTCATGTGGTCTTAAATGCTTAAAATTTAGGAATTTGCCACAAAATTCACTTTAGAAACTTTAAATTTTCAGTGTAGTGATATTTAAATGTTTTTGTTAATTAGTGGAACATTTTATTCAAATATAATCACTGATGAAAATGGGAATGATGCTCACTTGGTCTCCCCTCTTTCCTATCCTACCCTTTCACCTGAAAGTTCAAGGGTCTTTGGAAGCACAATTTGAAAGTGATTAGAAAAAAAGTAATTGGGTATGAATCATTTTTCAAGGCCAGGTCAGCATACTCCCAAACTCCTTTTAGGAAAACATTTAATGGCCAAGCACAGTGGCTCACACCTGTAATCCCAGCACACTGGGAAGTCGAGGCAGGTGGATCATCCGAGGTCAGGAGATCGAGACTAGCCCAGCCAACATGGCGAAACCCAGTCTTCATTAAAAATACAAAAATTAGTTGGGTGTGGTGGCGCATGCCTATCATCCCAGCTACCTGGAAGGCTGAGGTGGGAGAATCACTTGAGCCTGGGAGGTGGAGACTGTAGTGAGCTGAAATGGTGCCACTGCACTCCAGCCCGGGTGTCAGACTAAAAAACATTTAACAAGTAATTGTATTTAATCATTCATTTCCCTCTGTCAGCCTAGAATTATTAAAAAATAGTAATGTATGTGCTCACTTCAGCAGCAAAATTGGAATAGAGAAGATTAGCACAGCCCTCGCACAAAAATGATCTGCAAATTCATGAAGCATTCTATATTTTTAAACAAAAACAACAATATGAAGGAATGGAAAATACGATGGATATTTAGGATTTGAATATTAGGAGTTCAATCACAAAATAAATAAATATGACCTAGATTTTCGTTTCCTATGAGAGTAAAGAGTCTTCTGGAAAACTAAATTTATTTATCCAGGTGAATGTGACTTGCTTTACAAGTTTACATTGGGCTGAAAGTAAACAAAGAATGAAGACACCAAATCTAACTAATAACTTAGAAAATGTCGGTGGGGAGTGGGGAAAGGGGCGACTGTCAGAGTATATATTAAATGGAACTACAAAGATAAAATCAACAAAATCCAAAATCTGAGGAACACCACAGGTTAAATTACAAAAGACAAGCGCCAAAGGAAACAGAGATGGAGATATCCATAGGTAAGAAGATTCGTAAGAGAAATATGAACCAATCTCAAGGAATGGATGTTGCCTGGATCCTAATTATAAGACAATTACTGGAATACTGACATAATATTTGAGAATATCAAGGAATTAGTTGGTGTAGTAACAGCATTGCAAACTTTCTCCCCAAGTCTTTATCTTTTAAAATGCAACTTAAAATATTTACTGATGAACTATCTTGGATTTGCTTTAGTAATTCAAAGTGGTAGAGAAAGATGGGGCATGGTGACTAATGCCTGTAATCCCAGCACTTCAGTAGGCTGAGGCAGGTGGATCACCTGATGTTAGGAGTTCAAGACCAGCCTGGCTAAACATGGCGAAACCC